GACGTGCATAAACCTCGTCGGACTGAGAAATGTTTTTCAATAAAAGTCAAGTAATGGAATTTAATTGGATTAGTCAAATGAACAGTATTTTACCCATTTTCTCAAGGGACAAAGGGCATTTTCGCTATTATACCTCGTGAGCATAGGGCTTCTTGTTGTCCAGGAAAGATGGTGGCAGTATGAATGAGAAATGGGATTTTGGCTTTGACAGATCAGACGATGATTTCGTGGCTTCCAAAAATACGGAGCTTCAGGGATAGGCCCGCCCCTATTTCGCTTATACAACGTTTTTCACTAGAGCCATATTTATTTCATTTTCTTTTCTAATTACATTTTTAAGACCCAAGAAAATAATTGAATTAGGACATATCGGCAAAATTCAAACATCTCATTCGAAAATAACGGTGACTAAAAACATGGAATGGCCCTGCAACTTCAACCGAAATTCCGCTGAATTTCGGAGGACTTTTGTCGGACAACGAAAAGAGTTAAATATGCTATTGTCCTGATTTACTGAAGGATGAAGTTTCTATAAGGCCTAGGCCTTGTGAAAGCAAAATAAATCCTTATATTATATCCTTGTCCCGAAAGCACTTTGGGCAACATAAATCTCTATGAGGTTTTAAAATCAATTTTCAACACCGGCAATATAATTTAAAATTAAAAAAAACAGTACACATCTTGCAGATCTATAGACATTTATTTTTAGGGTGAAATGGACGGTCTAGATAATTTGTTGCAATATGCACTATATTTAGAGCTTAAAATCCCATTTTATTCCCACAACTATAATGTTCAACCCTAGATGATCGATGTAACTGTTTTCCGATGCTTGAATTGCAGTTTTCGATGAGTTGTGGAGTGAGGTTTCACTTGTTTTAATAGAGCCCCAGCCCTATCAAACCATTTTCCTTTCCCGAACATCGGAGGGAAGTTATACCATGACTTTTAATTTTTTATTTTAAAAGCAAGATGTACTTTAAAATGGAAAACCTTTTCATTGATCATCAAGATCTCGAGATGTATTAAAAAAAGTGAAATGATCCTATAGGATTTTCCCCCACCCATGTGTGTAGGATCCAAAATGATTACCATTAAATTTGACCTTTCCCCACTCATGTGTGTAGGACCTCAAATGATCACCATTAAATTTGATACGGTTCTATAGAAAAGTCAAGTCTTACACCCATGTGATAACTTTTCTAGAAATCGATGTCAACTTTAATGATGATCCTTTGGAGTTCTACACACATGAGTGGGAAAAGGTCCTATAGGATCATTACTCATTAAAAAAACCTAAAAATAATGCATTGTATGATAAGTTTTATAGGTTGCTTATTTTGAAAATTTCCTAGTATTTGTAGATGCTCCACTTGCATATTTTTTTTGAAATTTAAAATTTCATAATTATAGTTGAACTTAGATTTTTAAGCTGTTGTAAGTTTCTTGATACCAGAACTACATCTTCGAGCAAAATTTAGAGGTCCATCTTAAGGTGTGCACCTTGTCTGAACCTCACCCAATTATGAAAGGATGTAGTTATTACGAGGCCTAAGTTTTGCAAAAAAAAAAAGAGAGTAAATTTTTACCTTAACCTTGTCCGAAATCACTTCAGTTGTGGAAAATCTTTATGATAAACTCATTGAGGAAAACACTAGAGCAAAAATGGAAATTCCTTATGTTGTCTTTAAAATCTTTGTTTACCTAGTAATTACAAAATTTATTACTAAAAATAAATATAAATAATCCAAAACAGATGATCTACATCATGTGTTTCAATAGAGATCATTTATAAAGTTGAAAATCAAAATCCTAATCTTTTTGACATTCATAATGGTCAATGTCAACTAGTCAATTTGAAGATGATCAAGTGAATGTTTTTCAATGCTGGAATTTTCATTTGAGTGTTCTGATTTGATACGGACTAATTTTTTCCCATAAAACCTAAGCCTTACTTCAGCCATTTGCTTACTTTAAACTTTTCATGTTGGGCACTTGGAACATCGGCTTCAGTAAGAAGGTTTATTTAGGAGGGAGGAAGTTTTACTATTTGAACCAGCGTTTTAAAAAACGCCGAGTCGAACCGGACTCGCCCGGTTCGACTCGGAATTCGCCAAAAGGGATCGGATCGGTTGAAAAATCGGAAATCGTCCGGTTCTAGAGAGAACCGGACGATTCCGCACAGTGACTCGCCGATTTACTGTACGGAATCGGCGAGCCC